GGAGAATGTCGTTTTTAGAACTCTCTTTAGGACTGGTCTGCATCAGTGTCTGAACTATAGTTACAGAGAGATGTAGTTGAGTAATATCGATCATTTCATTTATCTTAGAAGTCTCTTCAGCGCTGGTATGCTGGTGTTCGACGAAGGCTTGGTTGTGTTTTACCAACTTCTATTGCTGTGACGTAGGCAAGATATCCGTTTGACAATTAAAGGATTATTTTGCTTTGCACCATTCCAGTCTGTTCTATTTCTGGGTGTCAAACATACCCTTTAAAAGTATAGAATATTCGTGGATCATCAGGACTCAACCTTCAGTGTCTTTAGAGCAAGTTAATACTACCAACTTCAGACGCCAGATGTTACCAGTGTATTACGTATGCCTGTACTTTGACTACCTCAACGTTCTACAATCTCTAGTGTAGAAGTAGGTCGTAAGAAAGTTAGGCGTGATCCAACTAAGATATGGTATCTGTTCATGAACTGTCAGGAACGTCCATGTTTTCTGCTATCATTTGTCAGCTTTCCACAGGTCAATTCCACTTTTTTTCCATCCATCATCTATCCTTGTGAATTCATTATCCATTTTATGAACTTCAAGGTATTCAATTTATGAGTTATCTGTAGGTCGTACACAAGTTTAATTGATGCAAATTCACTCTATTCTGATTACATTTTTGCTAAGTGTTAATTACTTTAAAGTAGTTTCCCAATTGCAGACATTCACGTAAAAGTTCTGAAAAGAGGTGGTAGATGAACTAGATTTACTAAAAAAATATTCCTTTGGGATTTTTATCATTCAAAGAAACTATACAAATTATTAATGAAAATAACACTTCTAATATTCTGTATGACCATTTTCATTTCAGTGTTTGCGTACATCTATGTGTGTACAAGAAACCATCTATACCTGAAATAAATGTATCTACAATCAAGCGTCATAAAGTACTTAGTCCTTTTTTTTCTAGTCATTATATATGCATAACTTTAGGGTATGTAGAAGACTGTTCAGATAAAAAAAAATTTGTCAGTTCATTTTTGCGTTCAAAAATTACAATTTACATTTGTGTAAATAACATATCTTAGCTTTATCACTAAGGAAACCACCATTTTATTTTTTGTAATTAGCTAATGTAATAGCTAATGAAAATAAGGTATTTTAGAGTAATAATCATAAGTTTTTAACCCTGCATCGTATCTCAATAGCTTGCTACACATTACTGTTGTTAAGTCTATTAAAAATGGTTTGAAAACCAAAAAAATGAAACTAGGGCGCCAGTTTGCATCTAAAAAGTTTATGTATTACTATTTACAAACTAATTTTACCCAACTTTTATTTAGTATTAAACTATATGTTGCTAAACTATCCAACTGTATTAACAATACAAACTACAGTTAATTAGCTCTAGATGTTTAAAACACGAAGTTCAATAGAGGAATATCTTTCCATCGAATTTATTATCATGCTGTACAACCAAATATATATGAAATGTATTGCTCAATGTTATGTTAAACACTGTCTTAGTTATGTATTTACGGACTTATTATTTATGACGCATCATAGCCCGGGATTTTAAATGTATTTACAATTGATTGATCACTGAGCATTGAATAATCCATGTACTTTGAGTACTAATCGAGCTCTGCCGATTCATTTGCAATGTGGTCACTAGTCTAAGTGACTCAGTATTTCATACTCTATGTTGAGATGTAAGGTAACAAGTGTCGATTAGCAAGAAACCTAAATCCAGGATCTCTCGATCAACTCCAACCACCTAACATTTTAAATGTATAATTGTATGATTAATAAATACTTCAGATACATGGGACAGTGTCTTTGATTAGAGGGAATAAGAACGATTGAATTTGGTGTGGTATGTAGGTCTTGACAAACACAGTACGAGAGTAACGGACTCAGTATTGTTTGTGTAGTGGAAAAAACACAGTAGTGCATTGTTTACTCTTTTTTTCTAGTTATAACGTATCCGTGCCGACATAGTTGTCAATTAAACAATTAACATCACTTCGCTTATTACCTTTTTCTACAGGATTAGAAAACAGAATTAGAAAACTAAGGTTCTGTCTTCAGTACAAATGTGTTCATCACCTATTTACTCTTGATTTTATCGTTAACTTTCCCGAAAATAGGATAAACTTATTTATACATAGTTTGTTCAATGAATCTGTACGTCAGTGATTCATTTTAAATACTTTTCTCTTTATTTTAGAGTAAAAGCCTAATTTATGCTGCGTATCAGTAAATACTAGGAATCAGAAGCACTAAGTTACCTGAGACATTTAGGTCATTACTTACAGTATATTCTTAAGAAGTTCCTATGAGATGCAGGTACATCCAGTTGACGAGTCTCAAATCGGACGGAACACGCGTCCTGGATTCCACTTCTAGTCACTACCCATCTTTGCTTAGAAAACTTGCGAATTAAGGCAATACGCACAGTATACACATATGCCAATAAGAGACTGATCAATTGCAGTGCTAAACATCAATCGGAAGATTCAAGTCAAAAATACGAAGTGAATTTAGTAACGGTCATTTGGTTTTGTGTGTTAGAACTGAACTTTTATTTTGTTTTAGTTAGTTACTTTGTCTTGTTTCATTTGCCTTGACTGCTGTTCAGTTATTGATATAGTATCTGATTCATTTTAGGTCCTCTGGGTTCGGTAAGGGTTTTTACTAAGAAGCCCCACAGTTGAAAGGTTTTAATTTATTACTCTGGTTTTACCTACTACTCCTGTACTACATTTGTAACATTTAAGATGCAGTTATAATACTTGGAACGTTCTCGCTCCAGATTTATCTTGAACAGATATCCGTTTTCTATATCTAGGTTCTAAATATCAGTGTGTCACTTCCATTAACCGGGATATCATCGAATATATATTTCAGTGAGTTAGTTATGAAGGTACTTAATTGAGAGTGTTTACTCAATTTCAGTTTATAGCACACGCCTATTTAGCAACTGGAAACACTTCTCTGTATTAAAAGGTTTGATATATAGCTAAAACTTGGTATTCTGAATTGTAAATTCCAAACCGTTAAACATATTCTTCTAAGGACTCAATATTCTGAATTGAGTTGAAAATACAAAAATCTTCAGAAATAAACATTTATCAAGCAAAATTGCTGACAATTTTCCTTCATGCAGTGTCAATGTGATTATAGTTTGCTTGTATAAATCATTGTTTTTTTAAATTATTTACCAACATAGTTTCCGAAATTTCATACCTGGTACATGCTTAAATCAGCAGTGTCGGTGGTACGAGTTAAATTCGAATTTATGTCCGTAGCACATCATAAACTGTGTCTATTTTCAAATAAGTGACTGTTAAAAGTAGTATTTATTTAGATAAATGGTTCCAGTTCCCATTCAACAGCATTTGAAAATTTCCAAAGAATACGATCAAAAATCAAAGTGTTTTGATTATTTTAAACATTCACCAGAATTTTCCGAGTATAATAGTAACAATAATTTCGACACCATATTTCAACGTAAAAAATAGTTCATTATTACTTGATTTACCTTTTCATGATAGTTCTTTGGAAGATTAAATATTTTCAGTATAGGGTTGTGGAGATTATTCAGTTATTGATTGAGATCATGAACCGATTGATGTTAGACCACCATTGAAAACCTGGAAGCACTGGACGGCCATTTCGTCCCATTGTGGGACTCCTCAGCAGTGCGCATCCACGATCGCGCTTGCGGGATTCGGACCCAGGGTCTTCAGTCTCGCGCTCGAAAGCCTGACCTACTAGACCACTGGGCCGGCATCCAACGGTGTTAATGTATTTGAGAATTGTCAGCTGGATGTACCTGCATCCCAGAGTTCATGTTCACTCGTTCGCTTCAAACACCATTGTGTTATCCACTTAATCACTGTGTCCAGATATCCAATAGCTAGTGTAACGGGGTGAAGTTTATTTCGTCTTTATTGGTTGTGTTCAATCACTTCATTGATGTTCATGATTGCAATCGATCAGTTTCTTTATAATGCTTGTGAATTACTGGTAGTATCTAGGATACACATATGCCAAAAAGAGACTGATCAACAACAATCCCAAATATTATGGGGAAGAATAAACAGCCGAAATAAACAAATGTACAGCTTGATAATAAATTCGTCCAGTGCTTCCAGGTTTTCAATGGTGGTTTAGCATCAATCTTACGTTACGAAGTACCGGGACATAACAATGATCCCTTTTAACGTTCCTCACTTCGTGTGCAGAATACACGACCCCAAATGAAATGGGTGATATTTGCAGGTTTAGTAACTTCATGTAAAACATATTATTGCATAACACTGGATTTCCTTACTCAGATTGAATACTAGCAGAAAATCTAGCAAAAGGTTTTCCTCTAAATCCATAGTTTCAGGACTTTATTTGTTTTATGGATTAGTTATATTTGGCATTACTAAAATAATAAAATATTATTCACCAGCAATGTTTGCAAAACGGGAAAAGTGGTTAGATAAGGGTTTTTAGACATGTGACACACGTGAGAACTTAGAAATCCTTCAGCAATTGCCATTCTAATTATCCGGATTTTAGTTAGTTTTGGAATAACGAGCTGGTTCTAAAATATTTAACTGTGATGACAACATAAAACTAACTGCCTTGTAATATTGCAATACGATTATTGGCGAACTAAGAAATAACACCTCTACATAGTTTACTATGTTCGTACCTATATTAATTTGTTTCTTTTTTAGAAATGTAGGCACACAACACTTAATCAGTTCTATTTTTGGTTGATTAATCGAAATAATATAACATGTTAATCTGATTGGTTATCATAACAATTTAACCTTGATGGACATAAATGAACCTGATTGGCATCTTTAGACCACAATTGTAAGTAAGTAATTTCAAATTGTTTTATTTATTTTGAGTGTAGAGAGGACTTTGGTTATTTGTCTATAAATAATGAACAAAAGATGACTAAAAGATTTGTTGTAATTATGTATCACATTTATTGAAGATGAAATCTACTTTTCAATTCACTAAAACAAACACTAGTAGCAGTCACTTAGAAAATCCGATATCCGCAGAAAAACTACATACTTGTGGAGTTATTTATGAAACCGAAATATCAAGGGAAAATAGTAATCGATTAACGGAAAAATCTAAAAACGACTTTGAAACTACTTCAGGTAAACATCAACAAAACGAGCCAAAATCATTAAATTTTAAACATGAAAGTAAAAACCTATTAATGACCAGTAGAATTGATGAAGGCATTATGAAACAGCAGTTACCCAGTAATGTGGAACAGCAAAATAATCCACACAGTGAGAAAGATGTTAATAGTTGTGAAAACGTTATGGATAATAACAAAATTCTAAAACAAAAATCAAAGCGAAATGTATCATATCACGAAAATGTTGACACTAGATCTGTGGAGAATTCATCAAATGCTGGAAGTAAAAATTATTACAGCAGCTCGTCATCGACTATGTCCTCCGTGACTGAAAGCTCTACATCACAAAATTACACAGACTCTGTATCTCCTGAAGCTCACTTATCAAAATTGAAGAAAATACACCGTAAAGCATCAAGGCGTAAAAAACTAAAATATCTTAAAGGAATATTTTGCTTTTTATCAGTAAGAATTATTCTATTATTTACTTTAATCTTGAGTATTTTATTTCTTCTGGTTGGATACCTATTGCATATAAGGAATATTTTGATAACTGGTTGCATATTGTCCTTGACATCAGTTGGTTGTCTAGTTCAGTTGTGCTTCACTAAACGTACAAGTTCCAACAAATTTAATCCACAATCCGTACCATTTGCACTAGCTGCTGAAGATCTTCCGAATACAGAAAATAAAACCTTAATCCCATCTTTGACAATAGCAACATCGAACCAGTTGAAGACTACAAGCACCAGCACTGTTGTTAATGAAATAGTTGTTAGTAGCACTAATAACGACGGTAATTTGTTAAAAGTTCCTGAAGAGTCATCTGCTGTACGGTTAACTACATCACCAAATACACCCGTTGTCATAGGCATCGATCACATCCAAGCAAGACGTTTAAGTATGGCATTACAGCACTTGTCAAGAAATTCCTTTCAACCCCAAACATTATCCTCACATAAGCACGAAACAACGAGTATGCTAAATATGGCAAGACGTTTAACAATGGCTAGTTCAGCCATTGCTTTGGGCAGTGCTGATCGTGATTACTACGGTCATTCGTCATGGTTAACTGGATCTAGAGTTCGACATGGTGTAAGACGTAGTTTAGCATGGAATGAGTCTGGTGCAACTCGATTTTATGAACATTGTTATGACTGATAAATCAACGAATATATAAAAACTGTCGAACTTCTTTAGATTACTTTTAAACTTTTGCAATAATAATTTTTTATTATCATTCAGTTTAAAAAAATATTGTATCACAATTTACTTTGGAAATTGACTTACAGGCATTTTTCTGTGAGATAATTTGTGACGGAATTTTTTTTACTTCACGTCTAGGATATACAAAAGAAACAAATATATACTAGGATACTCATCAAGTCATTTAAGCCTTGAACTATAACATCATCGTTCATTTTACTATGGTTTATTACATGTTTGCTGTTCATGAACTTAACCCTACTTCGTTAGGTAATTATTCCCTTTGGAATCAGCCCATGTAACAGAACTGGATGAATTCCTACACAATAATCTAAAGTTAATAAGCTCCCCAAGAGATTTTAATTCCCAAGGCTCGAACCCTGCCATGGATCCAAAGCTCTGAGAAGGCCTATATCAGGATAAAACAGCTGTCTAGTCCTCCATAGTTTTCAATAGTGTCCTAATTAATGTCAGTTCATGACGAAATCCACCTAAATATTACGTTTTATTATCAACCAAGATTTTACTATCATACATTATTTTTAATTTTATTTCAAAAGTAGTGGCTTTAGGCACTGATGATTTCTGTTTAAAACGATCATATAACCTAATTGAAATACTCAACATAAACTTATAGAAGTACGGAAAGATCCACCATAAGTTTGTCCAGCAATTTTTGTTTAGAGTTTACAAAAATGTCTATGTTGCAAACAATATAGAAATATAACCTCATTAAAATCAAACTATAACGAAATATAAATTTATTTAGTAGTAAAATCAACATTGTAAAATATGAAGATCAGTTGCTTAGTATGTAAAAACACTGTTCACTTAACCGATGGTACTGATCTTTTTGAAAGAGTTGGGAAATCTGTTTATTTATTTTCCGAATTAACAATTATACTATAACAATCTTATTCCCAACATGTTATATATAATTGTAAACCGTTAATGCTCCCAAAATCATATTTATATAACACGTACGTGTACTGAAATATCACCTACATTTAATTAGTTATGTTAAAGAATATGCACTGAATACCGGGAATAATAGCTCAGAACAACTGCATTTATCAATGTTTTTTGTACTTCAACGGGGTAGGAGCGATTTATTGAATATTTGTCTGCTCATTCAGAACACTAGCGGAGTTTGATTTCCAAAATGTTGCCAAGTCATTGAAATAAAATTAGAATTTATTTGGACTATAATCTGAATTTTCTCATTTTGGTGTGTCTGAATAGCTTAACAGCATATTCTCAAGCGTAAAACAAAGAAACAATATAAAATTTTCATAAGTTGACATTACCATGCAATTTACAAACGAGCTTCTGTATTTATTCTTGTTTGTAACTGGTACCATACAAGAAAATTAAAAACAGACCCAAAGTTAAGTCAGTACTACATGTGAACGCATCTGATGAGAAATTCAGTAATATAAGAATTAATAAGGTTTGAAACAAAGAGTGATCTTCCAGTATATGCCATGCATCCATTGAGTGAACAAAAATATCACAAACGGTGGCTACAAAACATGGTATGTAACTTCTGTTGTTTTAAACCTTTTCTCTCTTCACAAACTCCCACAATCTATCTCATGTTTGAAGAAGAATACAAACAATTAAGCTAACAGAATTTTACTTTCAGTGATGTCATCTATTTGAGATTCACAATCGTATTTACGATCGTTCCATTAATTGTTTATCGAAATCAGATATTGAAAGGAAATGCAACTGCTAATGAGAAATAATGAGGTGAATATAACTGTCCACATGGTAGATATTAAGAACAGGATAATTAAAAGCTGTGATAATGGCTAATTAATGGTTGCGGAAATGATTCCAAAAGAGAATAAAAACGATAGATTATGGAAGATAGTAAGAAAAGATAAGATCATGAAAGAATAAGGGATTGAACATACTGTTTTTGTACGCAAACGTTAGTCTTGAACTGGTGGATAACTACAGACTTTTCTGTGCATATCGTTTACTTTACATTCTTTTTGAACCGATTCTTCTCACTATGTGAATGATATGGATAGAGGTTTCTGTTGAACCATAGTGGTGAAAAGTAACTAGATGTTACGAGTTTGAACTTTTGACTGAATTTTGTAATCCTTTAGATGGCTAGGGAGGGAAATTTCTGAAGATGTGTTACGAAATAGCTTGTTTTAAACGAGCGATATGATGTTCCAAATGAATAAGTAAGCTGATAGATGCACATTGATTTGATCCAAGGCGAAGCTTGTCCTTCGCACTACTACGAATGAAAGACTGACTGGAGAAGACATTATAAATTTCAGCCAAAATGAATATTTTTCTCACAGATTCCGAAAGTCTACTTTTTGGAACTTCTGCATAAGTATCTCCTTTAAACTGGATGTTCATAAAGAGAGTTTTCTTTGCTGCTATAAACACTCTTTCACGTTGTTATTCAGGTTGAGATATTTCTCAATGATTCTAGTTAGATGGATATCAATTGATGATCAGTATCTCCCTTAGTTAATCAAGCTCATTGCTAATCGTATCATTGCTATAGATTCACCTAGGTGTCATGAATAGACAATGGGTCAAGTATCTTTTCTACTTCAGTGAAACTCAACTTTTAAAATTCACTTGCTGTCTCAAATTTATGAGGTAAGTGTTATTTATCTTCATATCAGTCAATATTTACTGCGCAGTTTTAGATAAGACGCTAGTCAGACAACCATGTTAAAACGGTGAGTAATACTTTCAGATCTGTTAACTGTTGTTATCATCTACTGTGTAAAGGACATTCTTCTATTTGAAAACAGCTGTCTGAACACATTATGTGAAGTGGTGCATAGATAACGCCAATAGAATTGAAGAATATTTTAATTATCTGTACCTTCTATAAGTTTAAACACATATTTTATAAAACAGTAGAACGTGTCCAGAAAATCCGAGGAAATTTCGACTTAGTGAATTCATTAATGTAGCATCTGCATTGATGAAGCCAGAGAATCCTTTTGAAAAATAATCATATTTGATTAACTTTGAAAACAGTACGCGACTATTTCGGGTGTAATTCTTTCTACCTAAAATAAAACAAACTGTATATGATAAAAGGACTAACTGTTGGATGAAAGTGGTAATTCATTTAGATTTTTTACTTGTTAACTTTCCACAGAATTAGTTTATCTGTGATTTAAAGTCCACCTTGTCTATATATATTCCTGAACCTTACTGCCTTTAACCATTAAGAAAGCAAATAAGCAAGTGTTCGTAAACCGAAATTTAAGTCAGTTCTCATCATATTTAAACGAAACTCTATCAATGGACTAGTTCGATCGTTAATACCGACAATAAGTTGTTTAAATTCGAGTGACTTCGTTTTATAGTAAATACCACAGAGTTATTGAAGATAATACGATTAATTGCGTACCTGAGTGCAAAATTAACGAAGTGTACTGGGCTATACATGTACTAAGATATTATATGGTTTTCATAACTGAGTTGGGAAACTGTTATATCCTAGTGAAGATTAAATTACGGGTAACTTCTGAGGACTATTGATGGAATAACATTATATATATTCCTATTGTATAACTAATCAGCAAATAGATTATGTATATCTATATATATATCTATTATAATAAGCTTCATTTTGACCTATAGATTATGATTATGCTCAGTTTATTGATTACAGTCTCACACGTTCACAGTCACTTTTTGGCTTGATCTTGTATAAATATTATTTCATATTTTATGGTGTGATGGGGTCTATTTGGCTGGCATAAAAACCAAGTAAGTTTGAAATACATGATTCGTATATTGGAAGCTGTTATTGACGTTCTGGACTAAACTGGACGGGCTAGGCGAACAATTTTTTCTTCAGCTTAAAGGTGGTTTGTTTAACAGGTACATGAAATTTTCCACTTTCTCCAGAGCTTCTCCATCAAGTTTGTTTTTATCGTTACTCACGGTTTCATCTCAGGATCTTGATTTTAGTTTAGTCAATGTTGAGGCCCAATTGTGCACTGTCTATGTTCACCTCCATTTGTTGCTGTGAATAGGATAGAAAGACTAGGTCATCTGTAAAATCCAAATCTTCCAGTCACATCTAATCTGTCCATTGTATTCCCTGTTGTTCCCCAGATTTATAGGCTTTCATACTCTGGTCTACCACGAGAAGAAAGAGAAGAGGGGAGAATAAACAGCCTTGTCTAACACCGGTCTTCACTTGGAATGCATCTACCAGCCGTTCTCCATTCACGACTTTAGAGTGTAGTCTGTCGTAAGAATCCCGTAATATAGTAACGATCTTGTCAAGTACACCATAGTGTCGAAGAAGGTTCCATAAGGTCCTCCTATCCATGCTGCCAAACGCCTTCTCGTAGTCAAGGTAGTTGATATATAGTGACAAGTCCCATTCAATCGATTGTTCAACGATGAACCGTAGTGTTACAGCTTGGTTCGTGCACGACCTATCGTTACTGAATTCAGCCTGTTGATTTTGACGTTGGTTGTCTACTGAATCTTTCATCCTATTCAGCAACACTTTGTTGAAAACCTTTCCTGGTACTAATTGCAGTGTGATGCCTATGTAGTTCTCGCACTCACTGAGATCTTTCACTGATAACTTAATGCGATATCCTTCTTCCTACTCTGCCGGTACTTTTCTTCCTTCGAAACCTTTCCGAACAAAGCATGGAGCACTTTTTCGGTTACCTCTACGTCTGAATTTAGTGCCTCAGCTGGTATATATTCTCTTCCTATTGCCTCCCCTCTCTTGAATTATTTGACGGCTATGCCAATTTATTCTAATGTTAGTAAGGTAACAGCCATGGAAAGGTCTGTAGCTGCTGCTTTGATGTCCAGTGAGTTCAATGGGGCTGATCTATTCAAGAGTTCTTCAAAGTGTTTTACACGCCTGTTCATCTGTTCTTGAATCTCAGTGATTGGCTTGCGTTATTTGTTCTTGACTAGTCGCTCTA